AGTACAAAGGAATGAGAGGCCTTCATGTTCCCTTTCCTACCCACTTCACGGAGTCAGCTACAGTCCGTACCCTAAATAATGAGTCAGTCTGCGCAACTCCCGTGTGAGGCAGTTAACTAACTGCTAGTCTCATTTCCCATTTTACAGACAAGGAAGCTAGAATGAAATTCAGTGTTTTCCTGCAGGATTGGTCTTTACATTCCAAGAATACTGGATAGCTCCTTGATACACAGACACAATATTTCATTATTTTTGTTTGAGGTCATTTGCTACAAACTTTTCCCCATAAGGTAATTCCATACCACCTAAGCATTGGCAGATCCATACTGTCTGAAACTATCACAGGGCATACCTGTTCAGGCTTGAGAACTGTAATAGGACTAGAGGGCAGCGGTGGAGGGGAGGGGGAATCTGATGGTTTGGCCTAATATATGGACCAAATCATCTGATCATGAGCAGACATTCAGGACCAAGATTTAATCTGCTTTGTTTCAAGTGGGAGATACGCGAAGATCAAAAGTTCAAATCCAGGTCAAATATCCTTGAAAATCTTTGATTTATATAAGCAGGAAAATGAGGTTTAAAAGAAGTGACTGTGAAAGGGTTACTAAAAACACAGCTGTACACGTACTTTTATATCTAAGACTCTCTAAAGCAAAACCGTGTGACATCTATATTAACCTTTGGCTGTACACCAGTGAAGGCCTGTAGTGAGCTGGAATGCAAGGCAGCCCCTTCCAAATTTTAACACAAGCCAGGTTACAGCTGCAAATGCCTGCAGCCCGTGCTCACTTTATAAAGTATTCCCCAAAGGAAATTTTTTAACTGTTATAGAATCTTTTTCTAATACCCTACAGTGTTAAAGCCTGTTATTAAAGGGCAAAGAGATGGTTCTCTATGCCAAACACTTGTCAACAAAAAGGATAGCCAGATGGTATGAAATAAAATGAAACTTAGGGGCTCTTCAGCTTCTTGATTCACATTAACAAAAGCCACTTTTACACGCTTCTTCCAAGAATGACTAATTTTCTGTTTTTTTATCTCATTTTTTCAAGGATTAAACAATTTTGCCCATTTTATAATCAGCTATGAGACAAATTAACTGATTGCACATCACTCATGCTGAGTCTTTAAAAAAAAAAGTCAAGGAAGGACTATTTACTAAGTCAAGACTATAACATAAATACAATCCAATTATTTTTAGAAAAAAAGCTCTCTGCAGCCTAGGAGATGTTTTCTCATTAGTTTCTGTTTATGAATTTTAAAATTAAGGTTTCAGAGTAACAGCCGTGTTAGTCTGTATTCGCAAAAAGAAAAGGAGGACTTGTGGCACCTTAGAGACTAACCAATTTATTTGAGCATAAGCTTTCGTGAGCTACAGCTCACTTCATTGGATGCATACTGTTGAAAGTATAGAAGATCTTTTTATACACACAAACCATGAAAAAATGGGTGTTTACCACTACAAAAGGTTTTCTCTCCCCCCACCCCACTCTCCAAACACTTTTTCTTTTAAATGAAATCCAGAGGAATAAAATTTATAGTAATACCGTTAGAAGTCTGGTCATTATTTATTTGAATTAGGTATTCAGACCTATGTGGCCTAATTCTGCTTTTGTTTACATCCAAGCCTATTCCCGACACAGCCCCATTCCTCATCAGTCTTACTACCGGTGTAACTGAGAACAGAACTGGCCCTTGAGTTAACTGGATCTAGCGCTATATCTAGTTAATTATCAAGCTATTCTAATAATGCTACTTGCTCAATATAAACCTAGTTTGTTTCAAGCTACCCTTGAAATAAGGCACCTGTATTCTGATTCCTAACCACTAAGGTCAAATGTAAACTCTTTGAGCAAATTCAGCCCTGATTTAACTCCACAGAAGTCAATGAATTTATCTCCTCTTTCATATCTTGTAATTTATTATCATATGTAAAGCCTTTTAAGCCCAACAAAAACTGTCTTTCTAGATGGATGGAGAAACATGTTCAAAGAGAGAAAGTATATCAGTAGACTAACCTTTGGAAGTCACACAGATCTGCAATAACATAGCTTGTTTACTGAAGCTTAGATTTAGTAATGACTTCTCTACTTACTCTCACTTCCCTCATTACTAAGATGCACATTTTATTATGCTGTGACACTTCCCCATTGTGCTGGCTTTAGAATGTAATCAAACCCTACCTGTGAAATACAATGCCCACAGAGTATCTCTTACAAAACTAGGACACAGTTTAATACAGACTGCATTTAGCAATTCAGCTCTGATTTAAATGGAATCATTGTAGAAAGCTTTAAAAAAAATCAGTCTACAATAGATCTAATTTTCACTGTATGTCATAGAAAACTGTTCATACTAAAGCAGGTGTTGTGTTTGACTATAAATGTGAGCTAGTAGCTAGTCTAATTCATTAAGAAGTCCATAAACAAGCCAGGCTTTGTCCGATACAGATGAAAGAACTATGACTATAATGGGATGAAAGGTGTGCACAGTGATGAAGAAAGCTATTGCAGATCTATGTCCTTTTTAAACTTGTCCTGGCATGCACTGTTGACAGGGGAACAAAACAGTACAGATAAACCTCTCAAAAGTGCCTTGTTGGTAATAATTCCACCTGTCTATATAAAACCATTGACTATTGCCTACCTTCTGACTAATGACTGGCCATCCTGACAGCAATTAAATAAAACTATAATGGACCATTTTGCTTGAAGAATACTTTTATGCTTTCTAAACTAACTACAAAAGCCAAGGGTTGTGATGGAGTGCATAATAATCTTAATGTTACATTGTAACTTCTGTTTACATATATTCAATCGCTCTGATGTGTTCTGTGATACTCTTATAGAACAGGAGCTATCCAAAAATTGTTCTATATTGTATAATAAGTTGACTAATTTCACTATAATTACACTTTGGGCTAAAATGTTTGTGTGCAATATAATTTACTTTAAGGCCTGAATCTTAATATGTTTTTATACAAAACTTCCATGGACTTCCAAGATGACCTTTCCTTACATAATGAGTATGAGACTGGGTTCCTAGAGCTTTACTTATGAAAGCTATATTGAAAGTAACTTTGCTTTTTATAAAGGATATAATTATTCTCCTGGAGATAACTGTTTCTTTATCTGGAGTTGACTCATATTAATTATTATCCCTTTCATAAAATCCTACTTTTACGATATAAAAAGAAAAGTGTGAATTTTAGTTTCATTATTTCAACATCTTTTGTTTTCTGTTAGAGCTTATTGAGTGTCCCTGCATTCTCAGCCTTAGGCTGTACTTTATACTTAAAACTAAGGTACCAGCAAGCACAGTGTTAACATGATCTCTTATCTTTAAAATCTAATATTTGACCACCAACTGTAATTTTGGATGTTCAAATATTTGTTTTTAAAATGTATGATTGATGCTTGGTTTAAATATCTAAAAGAGATTAGACAAGCATTACAATTCTAAATGGAACCTATTATCACTTTCAAAAAAGTGGAGACCCTGGTCAAACGTAGCCCATAGAGCCCTCCTGTGAGGCTCATGGTATTTAATATGGATGTGTGACTCATGGAAACTGGAAGTCCAGCATACAATACTCCATCTCCAGGTATCACCAAGATTGCAATGGAATGGTAACTGTATATAATCATAACTATTCAACTGTGTGGCATAGAACTTATACTGCTACTAGTGATTCTCCTTTAGGTCAAGTGCCAGGAGAAGGATAATGGTTCAATTTCTGTTGCCACCATGAAGTTCTAGGTGGCCATGGTGTGAAACACAGTGACAACTGTTAAGTCCTAAACAATGATGGATTTTTTTACAGTATTAAAGATAAGGGTGCTGTACCAGTTTATGTATATTTATGCATCAGGTGTATCCCTCTTGCATCTCATTAAGGCAAAGTTTGAGTTGATCCTGTTTTGAAACTACGGTGCAGATTTGGTCTTGAAATTGTAGGCACCCAATCTGTACATTCAGTGGTTTCAGAGCCACACGCGATGAGTGCTAAAACTGGATACAGCAAACTCCGACCTATAATTATATATTTAAAATAGAACGCTGGCCCTGACAGTGTTTTGCTCAAATCCAGAGCAGTTAGGCCAAAAGGCCATCCAATCTACAGCAGACAAACAGAACTCCGCGTGGACCCTGACATCCAATTAGAGGCCCAGTACACTGTGCACAGAGCGACAACTTTCACCTCATTTGCATAAACCCATCCACATGTGCTTGTGAAAGAAGGCAAATCAGCTACCTAAAACTGCGGTCAATAGAAAGAGCTGCAGGAGTAAATAAGGACTTACCACTGAATCCCTCTCAGCCAATTAAGAAAACAGACTCTCAGTAGCTTGGCCCTTTCCATTTACTTAATGCTGTCTTCCCCACTTCACTGGGCTCTATCCATTTACAGCAGCACTGGTGCAATTGTGATCCTCTACATGCCTCCAAGCCCAGTGCTTTGAACTAAGCGGCAGCGTATGGGCTTGTGCTGGTTTTGCATCTTCTTTGGAGGTTCAATATGCAGGCCAGACCCTTTCTTGCAAAGACCCACCCCAGAGACCCCCGGCTCTGGGACAGGGAAAATAACCAGGAGGAGGAAGAATTGGGCATGGGGGGTGAGAGCTGATTCAGCACAACAAATGAGCTTGTAAAAATCCTAACGATGTGAAATAGAGACTGAGCCCCGCCCAGCTGAATTTCAATATTACTGCCATTTACATAGCACATAAAAAAGTAGCTTTTCCTCTGGCTACTTATTTTCCCTGCCCTACCATCGGAGCCACCTGCCACTAGGGCCACCTGTGCCCACCATTAGAGACACTTGGCCCTATCAGAGACACTTGTGCCATCAGATTCTTGTCCTCCTTTTGCTCATAAAAGAGATCTGCCCCATCTCACCCCCAGGCACTAATCCCAATCTCAGGCACTCCTTCCCCCGCAAAAAAAAAAAAAAAATCTCATCCCAGAGCTCCCCGGGACTGGGGTTAGAGACTCACCCAGATTCACGAAGCTCATAACCATGTCTGCCTCAGTGAGGAAGTTGCTGTCCTGTAGGCTGGCCAGGGGTGGCCCCTGCGTGCTGAAGATGGGCTTGTAAGGGTAGGAGAATCCCTCTCCTTCCTCCCCTGCTGCTCCTGCCGTCTCCTCCTCCACCGACATAGCATTGTAGAGATCCAGCATGAACATGGGGGCAGAGTTCTGCTTGCCGTGCAGATGGGGCCGGGGTCGGTGGGGCAAACCCAGGATGGAGAGGATCTCCCGCTGAATCTCCCGGCGCTCCTGGCTCCGCAGCCTCCTGTGGATGAAACTCGAGTGCACCTCATTGTCCAAGGTGAAATCAGCCAGGATGCAGCGCAGCCACAAGAAGGGAGCAGCAGCCCACAGGACCAGCAGCCAGGAGGCAGGCTGCCTGAGCCACACCACATGCATCTCTCTCCTCTCCTCCTTCATGCAGCTCCCTGTGGAGGGGAGATAAAGAGATCCAGTGCGCTGGGGAGCAGGAATAAATACTTTACCATTAAAGCCAGCTCGTGCCTGCCCCACAAAGTTCTGATCACTTGGGTTGAGAGGGGAGATCCAGCTTCAGTGCACTCATGATAAAAGTCTGGCTCTGGGGGAGGTTGTGTAGTTTGTAAAATCCATGTGATATGAAAGAGATAAATGGAAAAGATAAATCCTGAGTGTTGCTTTCCACCCTCTCCTTTAGGGTCTGATCTCTTTCTCTCTCTTTCTCTTCACTTCTCACAAGCTGTCTAAGTACTGTTTGAAATGCTGCTTTGCAGACAGCACTGGCAGCAGGAGGTTGTATCTTGTGGGAGGAGCAGGCAGCAAAACTCAACACACACACTCTCTCTCTCTCCCCCTCTCCCTCCCTCTCTCTCCAAACTGCTTAGAAAAGAAAATCCATGTTACTGCCTAGAGCAGAAACATCTGATCAGGTTGCTTTTCAGGATGTTTATGGAAGCTGCTGGATTGGAAAAAAGGGTGAGCCATTTCTAAGTAGTTAAATTAATGTAAACATGATTAAAGAGAAAGCACCCCAGGGGGAAGGGGTGGTTTATGTACAGGGAAGGGGGGGGGCAATCCTTTGAGACAATTTGTATATATATAATAACACTGTCCAGAAAGGGAAAAACAATAAATGCATACATTTAAAATTTAATGACAGAAATATAATAGGCAGAGAGACTAGGGTCACTTTTTCCACAGGCAAGTGGGGAGCAGGGGGAGTTAATAAGGAAGTGTCACGGAAGACTGGGGGACTATTGGATGATAGAGAAACTTTAAAATTAATAACAATAACATTTACATGATTTTGAACCATCAGCTTCTGCACATTGCTAGTTTATGTCACTATATTTTCTTACTACTCTCCTGTCACCCCTTCCCATTCTATTGTCTATGACACTCACTTGTTGAATCTTGACTTAAACTGGATTATCAAGTGTTAAAAGCAGGGAGCCGTGACTGTCTTTTACTACCTATCAGTACAACCTCTAGCACATTGGGGCCCATGATTGGGCCCTTTGGGATCTACTGTGATATAAAAAAAAATAATAATAGTTAGTCACCAACTTTAACTACTGCTTCCCAACAGTTACTTGAAAAGAGAGGAGTGAAAATAATTCACAGTATATGCTGACTTTCAAATTCACTCTTGGGAAGAAAGGGGGAATGAAGAAAGTGGGTCAGTTGCACTCATTTTGACAGTATATGCCTTTCATGTTTCTTGATGAGTCTATCATAGACAAAAGTCTCAATACTTGATCCTCAACACTACACGTTCGTCATCTACAAACACTTATATAGCTCTGTGTATTTAAAGCATCATATAAGTAGTAACTAGCTATTTCGCATCAGAGGCCTATGAGAAGGGGATGGCCTGAATAGAAGAGGAAACTGCGGCATATAGATTCATAGATACTAAGGTCAGAAGGGACCATTATGATCATCTAGTCAGACCTCCTGCACAACGCAGGCCACAGAATCTCACCCACCCACTCCTGTGAAAAACCTCTCACCTACATCTTAGCTACTGAAGTCCTCAAATCGTTGTTTAAAGACTTCAAGGAGCAGAGAATCCTCCAGCAAGTGACCCATGCCCCATGCTACAGAGGAAGGCGAAAAACCTCCAGGGCCTCTTCCAATCTGCCCTGCAGGAAAAATTCCTTCCCGACCCCAAATATGGCGATCAGCTAAACCCTGAGCATATGGGCAAGATTCACCAGCCAGATACTACAGAAAATTCTTTCCTGGGTAACTCAGATCCCACCCCATCTAACATCCCATCACAGGCCATTAGGCCTATGTACCATGAATATTTAAAGATCAATTAATTACCAAAATCATGTTATCCCATCATACCATCTCCTCCATAAACTTATTGAGTTTAATCTTAAAGCCAGATAGGTCTTTTGCCCCCACTGCTTCCCTTGGAAGGCTATTCTAGAACTTCACTCCTCTGATGGTTAGAAACCTTCATCTAATTTCAAGTCTAAACTTCCCAATGACCAGTTTATATCCATTTGTTCTTGTGTCCACATTGGTACTGAGCTTAAATAATTGAAGTAAATCACCCCAATGTCACCTAGTGAGTAAGTGATGTGATAGAGCCAGAATTAAGATTCCTAACTCCTAGCGCTGTGCTCATTCCTCTGGACCATGTTGCTTCTCAAAACTCCTAAATCAATGAGTTTTGGGTGCCCAATGGAGGCAACAAGAATGAACTCTCAAAATCTTGTATACTACCTGAGAAGCACTGCCAACCAGCTGTCAAGCAATGGGAAGGAGTGGGTAATTTACATAAAGCTTGTTTCTTGCTTCTGATCTTCCAGAGTCCCTTCACTTTGACTTAACTCTGTGATTTCAACTGCCTGTAATACAACACACAACTTTATTTTGTGTAACAACGTTTATACAGATCTTGGGCTTGATCCCAAGAAGTGCTGAGTACCCACCTCTGAAAATGAGGCCCTTTCTGTGTGAAAATGCTTGCCAAATGTATAACTGAAATAGATTTGACAGTGATTTTTTTCCCTTCATTTTGTTTCCTTTGTGCATTTGACAGTACCATGTCACTTCCACTGTTTCTCTTATATAGCCAGTTGGTTCCCATCTTCTTTGTGTGTGGGTCTTTCACTCAGCAACAGGGAAAGAAAAACATCTTAAAAATGGGAAAACATGATAGTCAAACCATCAAAATTGGCAAAGAGGACTCAAGAATTTGCTCCAACCCCTCACACAGAGACAAACACCTACAAGATCTCTATCAAGCATTCTTACAACTACAATACCCACCTGCTGAAGTGAAGAAACAGATTGACAGAGCCAGAAGAGTACCCAGAAGTTACCTACTACAGGACAGGCCCAACAAAGAAAATAACAGAATGCCACTAGCCATCACCTTCAGCCCCCAACTAAAACCTCTCCAACGCATCATCAAGGATCTACAACCTATCCTGAAGGACGACCCATCACTCTCACAGATCTTGGGAGACAGGCCATACTTTGCTTACAGACAGCCCCTCAACCTGAAGCAAATACTCACTAGCAACCACACACCACGCAACAAAAACACTAACCCAGGAACCTATCCTTGCAACAAAGCCCACTGCCAACTGTGTCCACATATCTATTCAGGGGACACCATCATAGGGCCTAATCACATCAGCCACACTATCAGAGGCTCATTCACGTGCACATCTACCACTGTGATATACGCCATTATGTGCCAGCAATGCCCCTCTGCCATGTACATTGGCCAAACTGGACAGTCTCTACGTAAAAAAATAAATGGACACAAATCAGAGGTCATTTATTTCTCTTTGTTTTCTCTTGGTTTTCTCTTGGTTTTTCCTATATATTCAGCTGGTTAGGTTACCTATTTTTGACTTTAAGCAAGTGTATCAGTTTAATATTGGATATGTCCTTTCTTGAGGGGTGGGGAACATTGGGGGTATATGCTGCACTTGCGTGGGAACAAATCAGATGATTTAATGAGTTCATTAATTAAATTATATAATTGTATTGCTTTCTTCTATGGTCCTATTCTTCATTTCCTGTCTAAACTGCAAAGCAAGACAGAGATTGAGAATGAAGTTGAGAGATGACGTTGTGGACAAGGAACTGGGCTTTTATGAAAGGGGATTATTATAAGAGTCAGGTTTCAGAGTAGCAGCCATGTTAGTCTGTATTCGCAAAAAGAAAAGGAGTACTTTGTGGCACCTTAGAGACTAACCAATTTATTTGAGCATAAGCTTTCGTGAGCTACAGCTCACTTCATCGGATGCATAAGAATCAGTGAACCAAACTCTTTCTTTGAAGCAGCTGCGGGTAATGCCTCTACACGCTTCCCTCCCCTCCACACATCCTCCCAAAATGTTTAGTTTGTGGTTGTAAACTAGTAAGTACAATACAATACAATAGATGCATGACACATATATATAATAGTCCACATGCCACTGCTTCTTTACCTATTACTCATGATGCTAGGGGGATTCTTTGTGAGTGTGGGTTGGGAAAGGGAATCTATTAGAGAATTCTACTCACATCACATGCCTAATCCCTCATTGACATCAGTGGGGTTATGGGTTATAAACAAGAGCAGAATTTGTCCTGTATGTGCAATAAAGGATAATTCTGTATGGACTGAAATGGGCTCAAACTTCAATATTAGGATCCAGTTTTGGGTTTCAAACACTCACCAATCTATATAGATTATAGTCTGAACCATCATTATTATGGATTCCATCTTTTTTCCCCCATCATACATTGCATACTGTTTAAACTCATTTCATCTGCTCCCTGCAAGCTATCTCTCAAGCACTGCAGGCATATTGCTGGAAATATTGGCAGCCCATATCATCATCCTCTTTCTCCTCCTTCTTCCCAGGTCAATTAAAAAACCAGTTTTTCCTCTTACTGCTCTCTTCTCCTTTTCTCCTCCTCCTTGTTAGAGAGGGAGAGCTGAATGCTCATGACGAAGCAATACCTGCATGTTAGCAGTTGTTGTTTCAGATCATTTCTTTAGATAAAAAAAAATTCCAACTGATTGCCTCTTTCTTGAGGGTTACATGTTACCAGATTAGCTACTTTTTGGTTTCATCATGAATTGAAAGTTTTTATCTGTTTTCTGTATTAGCTACAGCTCTTCTTGTTTGTGCAGGTAACTGCACACTCTTAATGGGTGGAAGAGACAACTTTAGAAATAAAGGGCCCTATTTTAAAAAAAATTAGGCACCCAAAATGCACATGCAATTGCATGTGCCTAGTCTGCATGCACTATTGCCATGGTCATAAATGCAAATTGGGCAAATACCTGCCAATGGCTCATTCTGGTCATTTTCGTGCAAAGTTCCCCTAAATAAAGTAACTACGCTCAGATTAGGCAAACAGTTTCATGCCTAACTTGTTTAAAGATCAGGCCCAAAATATATTATTTTCCTTCCTCCTATTTTTCTAAATCAAGTTCAAGCTCCATATCCTTCCAGTTCGATGCCCTCCTCCTAACCATTTCTATTTCCTACCCATTTTCCTATTCTGAGCTTTGCACCTTCCCACCTCTTATGCCTGGAACAAATTCCTCTTCCTAAACACTGAGCATCTTTTCTTTCTTCCTCCAAATGCTTCTACTAAAATAAATGTCTTTTGGGAATCTTGGCTGATAGTATCATCGGGATCCTCTGCACATCTTTGAGTGCGGACTGTTTCCCTTTCCTGGTCCCTCCATTCATGTGATTCAGATTCTAACAATAAAAAAAAGCATTGTTTTTATAAGATTATATAAACAGCTTGAATATTGCATTACACCACTTT